TTATGCCTTGCACACCCATTTTTTGTTGTTCCAGATAGGTTCTCTCTACACAGAGTTCTGGTTCTCACTTTGGAGATCAGGCTGACTTCCAACTCAGAGATCCTCCTTCCTCTTCCTCCTTTTTGTTTTGTTTAAAACAGGGCTTTTCTGTGTGGCCTTGGAACTATCTCTGTAGACCAGGCTGGCCTCAAACTTAGAGATCTACCTGCTTCTGCCTCCCTAGGGCTGGGATTAAAGGCATGTGCCACCACCATCTGGTCGAGGCAGGATCACTCTTAACATTCCTGACACTTTGCCAGCTACCAGCTACTCCTGGCTAGTTGTTCTGTGAGCTTCTCCTATCGCACTCTCCCATCAGTCCATATGAGTGCTGAGATTACAAACAAGAGCTACTGAATGCAACATTTTTATGTGGTTCCCTGGGTTTCATTTGAACTTGGGTCATCAGACTCTCAAAGCAAGTGCTTTTGCCAGTTGAGCTATACACCCACCCCCTTTAAATAGATGAAGTTTCTGTTGAGTGGCCTTAAATCACCTTTCTCAGTATTTGGGTCTACAGTTTTTTTGTTCTTTTTCTTTTTGTTGATGGGACTAATTCAGCTTTATAACACACCATGCAGTGGAGTTTACTATTTTAACCAAATCATCACCCTATTTTATTCATTTAGTTTTTAAGACAGGGTCTCATTCTGAAGCCCTCACTGTCTCCTGGAACTCAGATCCACTTACCTCTGTCTCTTGAGTTCTGGGATTAAAAGGCACATGCTACCATGCCCAACACTTATCATCCTACTTTATATACAAGAAAATTAAGGTGCAAATATCTTATTTTGTGATACTTGGGAGTCAAATCCAGGGTCTGCTACATGTTAAACATGTGCTCTACCATAAAGTTATCTCTTGAGCCCGGAAAGGCATTTTATTTTTGTGTTGATGGGCTCCAAACCAGGGCTTTGAGCATGCTAGGCATGTGTTTTAACTACTGAGTTCCACCCCAACCCAAGGTGGGTATTTAAATGATTTCCATGCAGGTAATATTCTATCCTTTTGAAGCTGCTTAGCCGTTGGTCCTGTAAGTAGGTGGTAAGTGCCAGATGGAGCATCAATAAGGAATGATACTTAGCTGTTTACACCATAAGTATGTGAGTCTGTGGAAGACAGGAATGCATCTTATGCAGCATTACTGACTCTCTCTATGCCTGAAACATAACAAATGTCCTATTTTGGGAAGGCTTTGGAATCTTGAGTCATAGTGGATGTCATTTTGGATAACAATTTTGCTATTTTTATGCTTCATAAAATAAGTGCCTTGAGTATTTATGACTTTGCTTGGCTTTTCCAGAGTGAATATAATCACCAGTTCTGGACTAACCATCAGGGACAAACACATCTCATTTAATCTAAAACTCGGTGGTTATTACAATTAGTTTGTAGATGATGAAACAGATTCAGAGAGATTAATTCACTTGAGTTTGCACAGCTAATGAGTATTAGTGCTAAAATTTAATGTCAGTCACTCTGGCCCCACTCAAAAGTGCCTACATGTCACCTGTCACCTTTTTCTAGAAAACCACAAGAAAAGATCAACTTCTAGTCATGTCAGGTGATTCAGTTCTAAGTGAGAAGACAGGCTGCAATGACAGTCAATATTTGGTATTTTGAACTTCAGCTGTGGGTTTTTTGTGTTGTTTTGTTCTTGTCTATGTCTATGTAGTTATGGCTGTCCTGGAACTTGATGTGTAGACAAGGCTGGCCTTGAACTCTTATACATCTACCTGCCTCTGTCTCCTAAGTGCTGGGATTAAAGGTACAACACCATTAGGCCTGGTGATGTTTCATTTTTTGTCTTCCTATTATAATGTAAATTCCAAATGGAGAATTTTGTTTGTTTTGAACAAAAAAGCTACAGCACCAGTGCCTGAAACAGGTAGTAACTGAAAAGGTTGTATTCATCAATGAAGAAGGTATAAGTTATACTAATTGCTCATGAACTTTGTTTCTTTTAATATTACATACCTAATTCTGCTATGGAACAAGATGCTCTGTTTGATTTTAACAGCTTCCAATGAAAATGCACTGAAATCCATTCTGTTGGGAAGTGAACAGCAAGTGCTAGCATTAGGTCTGCCCAAACATGACTTCATTGAGGCCACTGTAAGTACATCAGCCTTCCTCACACTTGGAAGAAGGATTGATTTTTGAAACATGGAACAAATTACAGATAGATTTCTGGATTGATCACAGCTTAGAGACCAACCTCTACCAAAGGAAAGCATGTGGTTTTCCAGGACAGCCAGGGCTACAGGGAGAAACTCTGTTCCAACCCCCCTTCCCCCCAAAAATGTAAAACTCAAATCTGATAGCAAGAAGGCACTGGGAGAAATGTAGTGCAGGATCCAGCAAGATGGCTTGGCAGTTAAAAGCATTTACTCCGAATGACAACCAAGTTTGATCCCTACACCACCCACAAATATATATATATTTTTCTCAGTGGTTCTAAGCATGATGGGAATTGACAGGACATCTTTGGGAAGCTTTCAAAGGCAGTGAGTGCCAGAAACTAGAGGTCCTGCCTCAAAAGCCAGGTGGAGATGTTGGAAAGATGTTTCATCACTTAAAGAGAGCTTGCTGCTCTTGCAGAGGACCCAAGTTTAGTTCCTAGCACCCGTGTTTAGGTGGCTTACAAATACCTATAACTCTAGCTCCAAGGGATCCAGTATCTCATGTGCACATACTCACAGGCACATAATACTTAAAAATAATTTTTTTTTTTTAGTTTTTTTTCAAGACAGGATTTCTTTGTGGGTTTTGGAGCCTGTCCTGGAACTAGCTCTTGCAGACCAGGCTGGTCTTGAACTCACAGAGATCTGCCTGCCTCTGCCTCAAAAGTGCTGGGATTAAAGGCATACACTATCACTTCCCAGCTAAAAATAAATTTTAAAAAAGGAGAGAATCAACTTCTGAAAAGTTGTCCTCTGACTTTCTACATGTGACTTCTACTGTGGCATATGTACACACACACACACACACACACACACACACACACACACACAAAATCATTAAAAGAAAGATATAGGAAAGGGAAATGGAGAATGATAGAATGTGTGGATGATTTTAAATTCTTTCACAATAATGTTTGCAATTGTGACCAGTCATTGACCTTTGGCTCTTCTATTCGAGCATGTAACATAATGGATTGTGTCAAGTCCTGTAAGTCCTGTCTTCTGAATTAATTTCTTCCCCTGATGTTTACTTCTAGTTTCTTGTTGGGCCAGGTTGGCCTATGCTGTGTGACTTTTTCTTGGGAGATAGAAAGGCCTATTCATCCTTCAGGGAAGGGCACTGACAGGCCAAGGAAAGAATTCATCCAAGTCCAGCTTAGTGAACCATTGAGTTTATTAGGGCTACTTATAGATGCATGGGTGACTCAGGCAGTTACATCACCAGGAAGTCCCTTGGGCAATTTATTGGCAACTATACAAATTAAAGAGTCTCACCTGTAGCATTGAGGAGTTCTTTGGGCCACTTATGGGCAGTTGTGGTAATGAAAGAGTCCCACTTTCTGGTCAATTTTACACCTCTTATATAACATTGGGAGCAGTGGGTCTCTGAGGAGCTCATGAAGGCTCCTGAATATGTACCTCCCCCTCATGAGGAGATATTTATAGGCCTGGTCCCATGAGAGTCTCCTGTGGGTGATCACAGCCGCTGATTCAAGTTATAATCTTAAAAGAAACAACTACACAACCTAGAAGATCTAATCTAGGTTTAAATCTAAAATCTGGAATTATCCCAACAGTCTTGAGAGTTGTGGCTGGTGGGGGGGAGGGGAGGGAGATCAGAAAGGGGCAGGGCTTAAGAAGTGCAAACAGGACTTTTTTTTAGGTAGGCTGAAGTAGAATTATCATCATTACCTCTGGTTTAATCACTTAGGAGTAATGATAGCTGAAAGGCTTGGCAGAGTCTTGAGGTAGTTGGAGGGAAGCTGTGAGTAGGCAGAAGGAAGAAAGTAGAGACGTTTGCTGAACGAGAGAGACAATAGTGAGGCCAGGTGGTGGTGATGGGGAGAAGTTGGATAACTACCTTCATCTGTTAGGATTTGTTAGAACTCAAAAACAGTATTTTTCAGTTGAGGCAAATTGTATTTTCCTCAATCATATGTCAAGTATGAATAAAAGCATTTTCCAACAACTTCGTTTTGTAAAGCAACTTTTAAACAAGGTTCTATAAGCCTAAAATCCATAAAAGGTGGATTATGCCTTAGTAGCGGTCATGCTAAAGGTGTGTGTGTGTTTTGGACACGAACTCATTATGTAGTCCAGGCAAGTACCTGATCCTTCTCTCCTGGTCTCCTGAGTACTGAGATTACCACACGGAGCCTAATTTAGTAAGGTCTTACTTAACTATTAGGATGATTCACTTAAGACTTAGTCAAGGATATGAACTGGGGGGGTGATGATGATACTGGTACTAATGAAGTCACGATGGTCTGTCCTTGTGAAGTCAAAGTCATCAAAGCGTCACGTCATCCCAGGTTGTGGCCTTTCAGCTCACCACCTGTAGTCCTGGATAGCGAGGAACACCAGAGCCCATCAGACGGGCCGGGTGGGGGCTCCCGGCAGGAACCGGGTAGCCAAAGCCCGGCCCTGGTCTCCGCCTCAGGCGCCAGGCAGGGTCTACCTAGAGCCCTCCTCGTTCTTCTCCTTTTACAAGGCCTGCTGGGAGTTGTAGTTCAGCGGTAAGAAGACCCACTCGGCTCCGCCCCCTCCGTTTCCTCTTCCTCCCGGATGAGGGCGAAAAGTTGGGACAGCGGGGCAGGGCCCAGAGAGCACAGGACTACAATTCCCGATGGACCTGAGGTTCCAGTACCCTGTCACAGGTACCGCATCGTGATACACGCTCCGGCGCACGCGCATCGAACAGTGGCGGGACCCGGCCGCGTGCGCTTTCCCGCCCTCGCCACGCCCTGCGCTGTCGGTCGGGCTTTCCCACAAGCTGTAGGGTCCGCGCGCTCCTCCTCCTCTGTTTCTCTCGGAGTCCAGGCCCCGCCTGTTTCCCTCCCCTAGGGCCTCCTCAGCCTGCTCCTGTTTCTGCGCCTCTGCTACTTCTGCCGAAGGCGGAGGATCCATGTTGCCCCCTCAGCGAACGGCAGCGGTGGCTTCGAGAGGAGCAGGTGAGGCGTCCAGTTTTCCCTGGACCCGAACGTGGTCACGCACGCCACCTCCCAGTGCATCGGCTCGGAGGTGACAACCCGTCCCTGCCGCCGCCCTCCCTCGTGCGGCGACCGGGGCTGCACCGCGTGGTGCCTCCGCTCCGAGTTCGGGGTCGGGGGCTCCTGGAGCGGGCAGCGTCTTCGGTCTCAGCCGGGAGTCCGCGGCGGTGTGCGGGCGGCACGGTGGTCTGGCCGGTCCAGCTCCGCCCTGTGCCTGACAGGGCGTGCCGGGCGGTGGCGCGCTCCGGAGTCGGGAAGCCGAGCCGAGAGACTTGTCAGTCTTAACGGGCCGGGATCGGCGGGGAGGTGGATGCTTTATTGTTCAGTTTTAAAGTGTTGGAATGCTGCGGTGCGGCCTTGGAGTCGAAAGGTTTTATTTTAATCGGAACAACCTTGAGGCACTGACAAGTATTAGTAAAGTTCGTTTTCCACCCCCGCTTATCACCGTGTTAAGAGATAAAAGAACTGGCCTAAATCGGTTGTTTTGTTTTGCAAGTTTTTTGAGTAAGTTTAGGTTCTTTGCCTTTTCCGAAGACACAAAACGAGGTAGTAAAAGTACTAGATGGAAGCCAAATAGTCCCACCATGAATTCATGGATGCGATTTCGCCTGACATTTTACCTGTCACTACTATTCTAGTTTAATGGGTATGCGCCTGAAGTGATTGAAAGTTTCAATTGTGAAATCTAAAGGGGCGGGGGGGGGGAGGAGGGGAGTCAATAATAGTGTTTGAAGAATCTTTTAGCAAGTCTCAGTCTTATTTGAACAGGAAATGGAATATTTTGTAAAAGGTGAAGAAAAAAAAAAAAAACCTAACGGACTAAGACGGCGTGCTTTGAAGTTTTGCTTTGGAGAAGTGGACTTAAAACTCATGGACTTGTTACCTGTGTCAGGTTACTGTGTGTCAGGTAGCATCCAAGCAAAGTGAAAAGTCAATTTCTGTGCGGTTTCACATGAGTGAAGGAACGTTTGGTTGAAAAAAAATTTTTCCACATAATGATTAGGCCAGTACCAACATATTGTTTTATTTGTAATAGTTTACTGTTTCCTGTGATAGTCATAACAATAAGAAAAACAGAGGTAGGTGTGATTGTGTGCCAGAATAATTTTCTTAGTAATATGACCTATTTGTTTTGTGATACTAGGTGTTGTTCTTTTGCTATAATTTGCCTAAGAAACACAAACACGAGACTCGAATTCATAAAGATCCACATGCCTCTGCCTCCCGAGTGTGAGTGCTAGGACTAAAGGTGTGGGCCACCAACGCCCAGCTCAAAATGGGGTTTTAAGAATTGTGGTTTTTTTTTTTTTTTTTTTTGAGTTGACAAGATAATAGTCATTTAGAGATGATGGCAAAACTTGTGGAGTCAGAATCATGCTTGGCTGCTTTGTGAACTGAATTTGAAGGTCATCCTGGGTTACATGAAACCTTTTCTCAAACTTCCACCCCCCAAAAATAAAAATTAAAAAATGTTTTTCTATAAAACAAAATACTGGAACTAGGCTTGATGTTACATACCTGTGATCTAGCACTCTGCAGTCAAATGGAGGCAGGAGGATTTTGAGTTGGAGATTTTGTCCCAGTCAACCAAACAAAAATCCTAAAATGAATAATAATCTTATGACAGAAATATAAAGTTCACCCTGCCTGTTCTTATGAGTAGCTTAGATGGATGTGAACTTGTTTGAAAGTTGATTTAGAATTTATCCATGATGGGTCAGCCTAATGCCTCAGCATATAAAGGCATTTTTTTTTTAACCATCCAAACCTGTAACAACCAGAGTTTGATTCCTGGGGCCCACACCATTTGTGCAAGGAGATAACTAATTCCTGCAAGTTGTTCTCTGACCTCCATATGTGCACTCTACAAATGAATACTCATTAACTAAAATGTAATTTAAAAAAGAATTTAGTCATAATGACTAGTGTGCCTGTGTATGTATGTATGTATGTTATATATTTTTGTTTTCTATGTGAAGCCCTGGCTGTCCTGGAACTCGCTCTGTAGACCAGGCTGGTCTTGAACTCGCAGAGGTCCTCCTGCCTCTGCCTCCTGAGTGCTGGGATTGAAGGTGTGCACCATCACTGCCTGGCTGCCTGTTAATATTTTGTGTGACTTTGAGACAGGACCTCATGTGGCCAAGGTGGCCAACTTTAAACTCCTGATCTGCTTTTACCTCATCTAATTTCAGGTATGCACCATTGTACTGTTAGAAGTCCCTCATGGTGTTAAAGTAACTAACACAACTGCATTTTAAAATTTGGATTTTAAAACATTTTCCCTGGCCATCTTACTCTCTAGGAGCATATTTAATGTTTAGAGGAAATAGTGAAGGGGAGTAATGTAATTTAAAACAAATCCCAGTTGATTTAGAACTATAGGTCTGTATTATCTAGGGACTTAAAGCTTGCATATCCTTGGTTGAATGAGTAGATTAAAAATAAACAAAAAAACTGGGTCTCACTGTGTAGCTGTAGTTGGCTTGGAATGTGCTTTGTAAAATGAGGCTGGCCTTTAACTCACAGAAATCTGCCTCCCCTTTCCCAGTTTTCAAATTACCTCCACAATAAGCACAACTCATAGATTCTTATTTTATCCATTGAGGGACTAGGAAACAGTGAAAGAGAAAATCCCCACTAATTTCATTTTGCATACTTAAAAATAATCAAATTTCCCTGTTGATAGTTGTATATATTTACTTGATAGAAGTTAAACATTTGTTAGCAATTAGTTTAAGTTAAGTGATAGACTTTACTCATATATAGCAAGTAAACAAAGGATTGGAGTAAGAGCCGGGATAACCTGAAATGGTTTAGTCTAAGCCAATTATTGCCAATTAAGATGTTATTGTTTTTAGCACCTTCCCTCTGAAAAAAGCCTTATTTTAAGATGGAAATGGTGGCTCACACTTGCAATCCCAATATTTGGGAGGTGAGGCAGAATTGCCATGGATTTGATGTCAGGCTGGACTACATAGTTCCAGGACAACCTGAGCTAGAGTAAGACTCTCTTTCTTACCCACCCCCCCAAAAAACCCCAAAAAACCCACAAACAAACAAACAAACAAACAAACAAACAAAAAAGCATGATAAACTGGGTAGTGGTGTATGCCTGTAATCCCAGCACTCTGAGTTCAAGGCCAGTATGGTCTACAGAGGGAGTTCCAGGACAGTCAGGGCTACAATGAGAAATCCTGTCTTGAAAAAACAAAAACAAACGACAAATGAAAACAATAAGACCAGACTAAAAGCAAGAAAGGTTATTTAACTATTGGATTCCCTGTGTTTAGGAAAGAGGCAAGTACAATTACTATTGAATTTATCCTGTTAGAAAGTTCTTTTTTCCCCCTTGGGGCTGGAGAGATGATGGCTCAGTGGTTAAGAGGAATTAGTTTTTGCAGAGGACAGGTTTGGTTCCCAGCACCATATCTAGTCAGTACCCTTACAACTGTACATTTTGCTCCAGGGGATCAGTTACCACCTTCTGGTCTCCTTAGGTTCCTGCATGAATGTGCTGCTCATAAACTTGGGAAAGCACATACATATACACATAAAAAAGTTCTTAGCTATGGGTTTTTTGAGGCAAGGTTTCTCTGTGTAACAGCCCTAACTATTCTGGAACTCACTTTATAGACCAAGCTGACCTTGGACTGAGAGATCTGCCTGCCTTTGCCTCCCAAGTGCTGGGATTCCAGGCCTGAATCTTTTTTTTTTTTTTTTCTTTTTTAGTTAAAAGTTATTATCATCATTATTATTGAGTGTGAATGCATGATGGATGTGTTTTGGTGATTATGTCATGGCCTGTGTGTGGAGGTGGAGGTCAAAGGACAGCTTTGTACATTCAATTCTCTGCTTCTGGGTTCAGCAGACTTTTGAAGCAAGCACCTTTACTTGCTGAGCCCTCTTCCCTGCCTAGTTTCTGAATCCTAAATATTGTTTAGTCATACTTGGTTATCATTAACACATGAAACATTGACCTTCCTGTGAACACATAAAATGTTTTTTTTAGCATCTTGTGCTAAAGCACAAAGATTGTCTATAGTAAACGAGTTGGAAAACTTTTTCTTCCTAAACCCTTTAATTAAAATACACAGTTTTCCCAATATTTTGGCTGGTTGGTGTCTTAGGGTTTCTGTTGCTTTGATGAAGTGCCATGACCACAAAGCAAGTTGGGGAGGAAAGGGTTTATTTGCCTTATACTTCAGCATTGCTGTTCATTGCTGAAGGAAGTTAGAACAGGAACTCAAACAGGGCAGGATCCTGGAGGCAGGGGCTGATACAGAAGCCTTGGAGGGGTGTTGTTTACTGGCTTATTTTCCCTGGCTTGCTCAGCTTGGTTTCTTATAAAACCCAGGACCACCAGCCCAGGGTTGGCAGCACCCGCTATGGGCTGGTCCCTCTCACACTGATCACTAAATGAGAAAATACTTTACAGCTGGATCTCATAGAGGCATTTGCTCAACTGAGGGGCCTTCCTCTGATGACTCCAGCTTAAGTTAAGTTGACACACAAAACCAGCCAGTACAGTTGGGTTTGAGTAGTTTCACACAATCTTTCCTGTGTATCCACTGGCATGTTTACTGCCAAAGTACGACATAGAAACATTGGAAAGAACTGCATCCAGTAGTTGTGCAGTTAGCAGAGAGGGCTTTTAAACTTATCATATTTTAAGCTTAGCATACTTGCCTTGTTTGTGATGTTTTCTCTGGCTTTGTGAGTTGGGAACTTTAAGGACTGCCAGTAAAAGCAAGGCATGGAAATGGTGTACCTTTTTTTGTGTGTAGCTTTTGCTCTTTAGAGAATGTTATTTCAGAGTTATGACCTGGAAAACTCAGGTCATAACTCCACCATGACTCATATAGTCTGCTCAGTAAAATGTGTCTGTAACTTTAGTTCATTTCAGAATTCTTTGGACAGTGAGGATGAATACTGAGGATGGTTCTAGCCCAGTTCTTTTTTTA